AAGCAAATTAACACAGGAACAGAAAACCAAATACTGCATGTTCTCAAGTATAAATGGGAACCAAACATTTAGGACCCATGGACATAAAATGGGAATACTTGATACTGTGAACTACTAGAGTGGGGAGGGAAGGGGATAAGGGTCAAAAAACCACCTACTGGGTACTATCTCACTATCCCAGGGTAATATATCCATGTAACAAATCTGCACATGTACCCCCTATATCTAAAATAAAGAAAATATAAAATAATTTTAAAAATTAAAAGAACTGAAAACAGGGTTTCAAAGAGATATTTGCACACCCATGTTCATAGCAGCACTATTCACAATAGCCAAGAGGTGAATGTAATCCAAATGTCCATCAATGGATAAATAAACAAAATGTGGCATATACATACAATGGAATACTATGCAATTATAATAAGGAAGGAAATCTTGTCACATGCTAGAACATGGATGAATCTTGAAGATATGCTAAGTGAAAGAAGCCAGTTACAAAAGACAATAGCGTATGATTCCACTTAGTTGAAGTATCCAAAGTTCATACTTTATACATAGAAAGTAGAATAGTCCTTACCAGGAGCTGAGGAAGGGGGCAAAGGGGAGTTGCTTAATTGATATAGCGTTTCAGATCTGCAAGATGGAAAAGTTCTAAGGATCTGTCTTACGACAATATCATTATATTTAATACTACTGTACACTTAAAAGTGCTTAAGATAGTAAATGTTATATGTTTGTTATCATACTAAAGAAAATTTTAAATAGAAATAAGAAAAATATATAAAGAAGTCTAAATCATCTGTTTGCTGAATAGAGAAAGAGAAAAGAAATGAAAGGGGAGTAGGTATTTTCCGTTAGTGTAAGTGGGTATGTTTTCATTTCTGGTGCACTGTACAAATGCCAGTTCCACAGAGAGAGAACAAAGGGTTAAAATCTTGTACATGAGGCCCAGAGCTTTCTAAAATCCAAATTAGACACTAAAATTCATCATAAAAGCCAAAGTGCTGCATCCTCTACCTTCAGAATCTCATCACCCACATTCTTAGAAAAAGGAAGAATCCTGCTCAGTCAGGACTGATTCCACTCCAGGGAAATCAACAAGAATATCTAGGTTGCGGCAGTTCGGGTTCTTGATGCAAACAACTGAAAAAGATACCAGCAATTTCAGGGGAAAGGAATTATGGAGGTATCATAGGGAGTTGACAAGAGTCCACAATAAGACTAGAGGACCAGTATAGAAAACAGAGGAATTTTCCTGTCTGGGTAGCCAAGAATACACTCATGACACACCCCAGATCAGCTGCATAAGGACACCAGCCACAGCTATGGTTGGCCCCTTCACCCCTGGACATTCACTGCCACAAACAATCTCCAACTGACCCCGTATTTCTACATCATCTCCTCAATGTTCAAATTCTGGAGTAGAAAAAAACTGGTCATACCAGGGAGATTCCATTCAAAGGGAGTGAACTCCCTACAAAAGGCAAGATATGTAACAGCTAAATAAGAGAGAAGGCAATTGTTAACAATGGTTACCAAGTAGCTTAGCAGCTACTTGGTATGTCTCATATGCCTAGCTCATCCAGTTTAAAATAGAGTAGTAATAAATTTCTAATTAATTCCAGTAAACAGAATAAGAATGTATAAGCTTTCTGGATCATGTCACTCGCAATGTGGTAGGTTTCCACAGGTTAACCAACCAGATGAGACCACTTAGAAACTATGACTAAGTAAAGCAAGGTGCATAGAAGCAGGTGAGATGAGCACAGCCTGTGGTTAGTTGCCCTCTAATGCTTGTGTCAAAGTCAAATTTGCCTAACCTTGATAAGAGCCGACAAGTCTCAAAACTCCTGCCAGAAAAGACTATTATGACAGTGCATACGCCAACAGCTGTCACCATGACCACAGGACTAACACTGTTCAAGCAGAGAAGATGCCATTTCCCTGGCACAGTTTAATCAATATATAAGCCTCTAGCCAGCTCCCAGATAGTCTATTTGAAAAAATTTCCACAGACTCCAAAGGGCAAAGATACGTAGAGAACTACAAGTCATAAAGAGGTAAAAATAAGGATAGTAAAGTTAACTGTATTTTACATTATATTCTTTTATTCATTCAACATATGCTTCTATTCAACAGCCCTGAAGACTTTGCTTTTATGATGATAGGACAAAGAATGTCTCTACTTTCTTTCAATAAGTCAACAAAATAACAAGGAGTTTCAAAACAGATATACCATATATATATACATATATATATATATATATATATATATATATATGTATATATATAAAGCTAGAAGATTTGATCTAAAGGCCTAACCTACAACACAAGCAGTAAGTGGGAAGATAAATGGTAAAACACGTTAGAAAAAAGAGAATGGTCAAAACTCAATGTCTGCAGAGGCACTATCAACAAGAAGCAAGCTGCAGGGCTCCAGAAAAAGGAACTGGAGGCATCATCTATCATGAAGGTAGGGTGAGTTGGCAAAGCAGAAAACAGAAAAACTGAAAGTCTGTATAAGCAGCAGTTAGATCCCAGGGTGCCTCACTCTCCTTGGAGGATCTAGAAGATATTAATACATTATTAATAAACATGGTATCAAGGAAGCAAAAAACTTATACACAAGGGCACTGAAGAAAGAGTGAAAACAGGGATAGGAAGTAAAATCTGCATGCTAGAGAGTGAGACCTTCCACTTCCCTCACCCTACAGGTCCAGAGCTCCAATAGCCAGGCTGAGATTCCCAAAGCAGGAGACTGAAAGGCCATTCTCTAGAAAAATTAAATCATCATCTGAGAAAAGACCTACGGATACTACTATCAATATCTGCAATGAGAATGCTAACAGGCTACCAAGTATCCCACAGGGGAGCAAGCCTGCATTCATGTAAGACACACACGCAGCTTCTAGTGAGCTTCCTAGTGTCTCGCCTCTTACATGAACAAAAGACAAGGATCAACATACATCTAAAGAAAGCCCACCCCACCCAAGAAAAATGATCAAAATAAAGTGAAAAAAAAATCAGTGAAAACAGGAACAACACAAGTAACAGACGAAAACTTCAAATAAATAGTATTTAATATCTTTATTGAGTTAAGATCTTGTATTCATTTAATAAAAACACAATATGATAAAAAGAATCAGGGAGCAAGAAATGGGGAAGCAAGGACAAAAATTCAATGAAAGGATGTTGTTCTTTCTCCGAATTAATAGGCACTCAAGAAAAAGAGAACAAGGAAAAAAGTAGGGAGACAATTTTCAAGAAAAATAATATAAGAAAACATGTAATCACTCAATCATAGAATTTCTTAAAAGGCATACTGAGAAAGAACTTAGCACAATGAATGAAAAACAGTTCATACCACAGTAATTCAGCAAAAGATGTGGTGAATACATATACGAATAAGAGATAAAAATTTTTCATAGAGAAAACTGACCAAAACATATAAACAATTAAGGAATATGGCATTAGACATCTCAAAGGTAGCAGTGAAAACCAGAGGACAATGAAGCAATATCATCAAAATCCTTTGCAACCTAGAATTCTATACCCAGAAACCACCACTGAACTATAAGACAAGAATAAAAGCATTTTTATAGCCTCAAAGTCTGAGGGACAGAAAACTGCTAGATTTATATTTTAAGCCTTCTGAATGTAGCACTCTTTGACTTATCGCTTTATTTTATTTTGAACTATATACTTTGGAAATATTTTCAACTATTACTTCATTTAGGTCTGCAGGCACAAGAGTACATTTTATATCCTTGGTAATCATGAATAGGATACACCCTTGGTTACCACACACTCCTTTATATAAAATATAAAATAGTAATATTAACAACCCCATAAAATAACAATCTTTATTTTTATATAACAATATGCTTAAGAAATGCCTTTGAAACAATCACAAAATAAGACAGATATTATCCCTTTCTTAAAGATAAGAAAACTGGGGCTTAAAGAGATAAGTAACTTTCCAAAGGTATCCCAACTGACACAAGGCAGTACTAGAACTCAAAGTTAAGTCTAATGGCATGTTCAGGATTCTTCTCAGGATGCTACAGTTAAGAATCCTCTGTATAATCTACACATAGCTTTATGTTGCAACTTCTCATTCTCCATTATGCACGTAGGGGAAGGGAATTGTTTTCTCTGAAGCCACCAAAAGCTCTCTGTTATTCCTTTCCTCCGTGCTAATTACAACCTAGCTATTTATTTCATCATAAGCACCTCAGCACTGTAGCTCCTTCTTTTTTAGACCCTCCTTAAATAACTATAGTACAGGTCCTAAAGTAAACACTGACTTAGATACTGAGAGATAGGGCAAAAGGCAAATCCTAACTTACTCATTAGAAGTTTCTCAATTATTTTTCTTAACCTAAGGAGTAAGAAAGTAGGTAAATAAACAAAAGTGACTTCTTCATCTTCTTGTATGCTACATGCAGCAGGAAAGCACCTGATATATGTTCATATATGATGTGCACGCATATTCTTAATGATCCCTCTGGCTCATTATCATAAGAAATGGAATTCCGGTTTACAATCAGCTATTAGCAGTTATTTACACCATAAAGGGATATTCAAAGATAATTATCCCCTCTACTACTCTTCCCCCTAAAATGTATTACTCAAAAAATAATTTGATTAGCAATTTAGTAATAATTAAAATAATTATTTGTAATGCTTCAAAATTTAGAACCTAATACACACACATACACACATATACACAGCTTCCCTTTCCCCTCCTGTTTCCAAAACAAAGATAGAAGATTGACAGACACTCACATTCACATACCATACAACCATTTGCACATACATACACAGTCCATGCTTGGATTCACATCCCTTCTCAACTTCACCCTCTGTTAGACTTGTTGACCTGAATGGGCAGAGGGTGAAGAAGTCACAGTCTTCACTGGAAAAACCCACCTGCACTCTAGGTGACATATGTTTTGAGCAATAAAAAGAAATAGCATGATAACAATCTAGCCACTTACTCCACAATATCGGTCGCCATTAAATATCTGAGGTGGCAGGGGGTTGCCCTGAGCAGGTTTTTTTTCCGGGGGGACATTTTTGTACATCCATTGCCTCTGTTCTTCTGACATTGTGATATCCACCTCCTCAAACTCTATCTTGTTGGCTTCCAGAAATCTAACCACATCCTGCTGCTTCTTCTTTATCTGCAGAGAGAGGACAAACAAATAAGTAGATACCCTTATGTGAAATAATATGTATATACTTCCAAACTGAACTAGATTTGATTTGCGATTCTCAAGAGGTCAGTGATACAAAAAAAGAGGTGATTTATGTAGGTGTCATGCACTGCCCACTCACTAGATATCCAGTGGAGGACTAAGCCAGTTCCAACACAGTCGTTCCTTTGATGCTGCTGTTGTTGTGAGATGGGGTCTCTCTATGTTGCCCAGGCTGACCTCAAACACCTGGCTCAAGTAATTTACCCACCTTGGCCTCCCAAAGTGCTGGGATTACAGGTGTGAGCCACAGTACCTGGCCACTAACACAGTCATTTCTTCAACCTAGTCTCCCCACAACTCTGGAGCACAATTCAGGTGGCTTGGAAAGAATAGACTATGAGATGAGAGATTCACTTAGTTCTCAGTGGGCCATAACCACTCCCCATTTCACCCCCCAACGCCACCCTCACCCTTGCAAGAAGTTGACATTTATAGTCATAAAAGCTCCCTTTGCCAAAAGCCATCTGAAAACCATGTACAGCCTATCTGGGATGTCGACATTTCATTGATTCATGACAGCAGCAACATTTTTATTCCCCTCAGCAGCCTTCTTCAGAAATTCCACAGCTGTAGCCACTACCATGAAAGCATCCTTTCATCAATTCACAAGAGAAAAATGTTCTCCACTTCTAAGGTGAGAATAACAACAAATATCATCTTACTTTGAACTTGTTTCTTAACCCTTTTCATTCCTCTGATCTTTCACTTTTCCTTCTTTAGTCACTAGGGGTCAGATGTGCTCTTAAGAAACTGCAAATAGATCTCTGCTAAGTTTTCAAAATGTTGCCTACCTTCTTAAGAGTACATATTAACTGGCCGGGCGTGGTGGCTCAAGCCTGTAATCCCAGCACTTTGGGAGGCTGAGGCAGGTGGATCAAGAGGTCAAGAGATCGAGACCATCCTGGTCAAAATGGTGAAACTACTAAAGTCTCTAGTAAAGATACAAAAAATTAGCTGGGCATGGTGGCGCATGCCTGTAATCCCAGCTACTCAGGAGGCTGAGGCAGAATTGCCTGAACCCAGGAGGCGGAGGTTGCGGTGAGCCGAGATCACGCCATTGCACTCCAGCCTGGGTAATAAGAGCGAAACTCCGTCTCAAAAAAACAAAAAAAAACAAAAAAAAAAAAGAGTACATATTAACTAATTGAGATGGAATGACAACACCGTAATCTCCCATTATCCATGGGGGATACGTTCCAAGACCCCCAGCAGACATGTGAAATGGCAGATAGTGCCAAACCCCTATATATGCTATGTTTTTTTCAATCTGATAACTGGGAGGCACGTCCAGGTTTGTGTTTTAAAGAGATCACTTTAATACTATGCAGCTTAAAAAGAAAAAAGGAGAAGCTCTGTATATACTGTTAACACTGTTATGAAAAGATCTCCAAGGCATATAAGTTAAAAAAAAAAAAAACAAGCAGCAGAACTCTATGTAGACTAAGCTCACTTTAAAAACAAATGGAGGAAAAATAAGAACACATTTATATTTGCTTGTATTTATATTGTTTTAAAAAAATTATTGAAGGTCATGTAAGAAACTAACAAAAGTGTTTATCCAAGGGCTGGGGGAGAAGGAATTCGGTAAGGAAACAAAGTGGGAGCAAGAGTTTTACTTTAAAATGTTTTAAACATTTTAAGAAATGTGTTAATATTCAAAAAAGTAAAAGAAGAAATGTATTTTAACAAGAGAGAGGTGGCACCCTAGCTTCCACAGAGCAGCTTGGAGGACGGCTGTACACACCACAGATATGCCCTGTTAAATACAGATCACATTTTCCCAATGTGACATGAAGCAGAACTCAAAGCATATTGTTGAGTCACTGGCCTCCATAATTCACTTATAAGAAAGGGGAGATGATTAAAAACAAGAAATGAAAAAACAGCTAAAATCTTAGAAAATTAGCTAGTACTACAGCAAATCACCAAAATAACAAGGTAGGAAAAACTTAACCCAGAGAAGGAAGTTTTCAAGTGGATGTTTGTGACATTAGCATCAGGAAGGAAGATGTGTCACACTACCACCGGCTGTTTGTAAGGTCTGCAGAGGTGAACACAGCCTGGAACTGGAAGTACCCACACTAGTGTGGCAGGGGCAGGCAGTTCAGGAAGCAGGAGCTTAGAGGAACACATTGGCCTACTGGGTGGGGCGCAGGTAAGAGGCTTCCCATGTGGCAACAGGCAACAGGAAGCCATCAAGGGCATTTTATGGGCTGGGCTTAATTCCAGAGTCCAAATAACCATAACATACACAATCATTTCCTTCACACAATGAGTTTGTTATTCTCCCCACGTTTCAACTCTCTGAAATGAAATGCATCTTATAATCAATACCAAAAGGAATTTGCTAAGCAAACAGAAGAGAAGTAAATTTTGGGCCCACAGACACTGCTTTCATCTGTCACTTTATCCATGTGTGGAAGGTACCTGCACCTCCCTTGTTTGTTTTTACTTAAACACCCTTGGAAGCAAAACAATGGTAACCCAGTAACCAATCTCCCTTTCTTTCTAAATACAGAAGCCTGGTTTTACTTGGAAAAGCAATGGGCTCAGCTACAAAATCATGTTTACCCGAACACCTCTATTGTTAGAGGTAATCACATGACACAGTTCTGACCAATGCTATGTGAGTCAGACTGTTCTTGGGAAAGCTTCACTTAAATGAATGAAAACCCAAAGCAGGCTTTTGCCCTTTAGTCTCCATCCTGGCAGAAATGCAGATATTGTGCCTGGAGGTGCAGAAATCACTTCACAAATGTGAAAATAAACACCATAAATATGTGAAAATACTATATGCTAAGGATGGTCAAGCAGAAAAGACAGTAGCCTGGGTCCTTAATGACATTTGTAGCTGCCACCCAGGTCTCTTCACGCACAGCCTATTCTATGCCTTTCTGTTAGACAAATAAACCCTTAATAAGTTAAGCCACTCTTCATCTAGTTTTCTATAGCTTACACTCAAATTCAATTCTTAACTGCTACTTAAAATGACTTCAGAAATATTGTATTATGATGAAGTATTGAAAATAAAAGCTATTACTGCACAGTACAGGCTGGCAATAAAGGCTGTTAAGACATAAACTTAATATATGTGAGTGAATATTTGTTACTGGATAAACAGAGGAATTTTCCTAATCTACTCCATAGAGCAACAACCAACATGTTGGAACTAAAAGAGGCAGGTGATCTACAAGGATGAAGGGTGCACTTCACCTTAACATTCAAACACTACTACACACCATACAAAGTAATTAAAGGGAACACAGAATCTCTTGCATTAGATTATGGATAGACAAAATATGTCCAAGGCCCAAATCCAACCCACTGACCATTTTATATGGCCTGCAGCCAAAAATGATCTTTATATTTTTAAATAGTTGGGAGAAAAAAATAAAAATAATAATAGTATTCCATGACATGTAAAAGTTATATGAAATATAAACACTAGTGTCCATAAACAAAGCTGTATGAGAACACAGCAACACCCATTCACTTATATATTGTCTATGGCTGCTTTCTCCCTACAATGGCAGTGTTGAAAAGTTGCAACAGAGACTGTGTGGTCCCCCAATGCTTAAAATAGTGACTGGCTGCACTGTATAGGAAAAGCTTGCCAACCTTCGGGCTAGATCACAGATACTCATTTCTGGATGAAAGTTCCCTTTCTCAGTGAGCCCTCCTTTGACCACCTGATTTTACACTTTTACCAGCTACCCAAGAATTCTCTACTCCCCCTTCACTGCTGTATTTTTCACCACAGCACTTGGCATCTGACAGACTGTATAACTTATGTATTTGTTTGTCCATCTCTGCTACTAGAATATAAATCACCCAGCTGGGCATGGTGGCTCCCTCCTGTAACCCCAGCACCTTGGGAGGCTAAGGTGGGTGGATCACCCTGAGGTCAGAAGTTCAAGACCAGCCTGACCAACATGGTGAAATCCTATCTCTACTAAAATGCACAAATTAGCCAGGTACGGTGGCACATGACTGTAATCCCAGCTACTTGGGAGGCTGAGGCAGGAGAATCGCTTGAACTCAGGAGGTGGAGGTTGCAGTGAGCAGAGATCACACCACTGCATTCCAGCCTGGGCAACAAGAACAAAACTCTGTCTCAAATAAAAAATAAAAAAAAATAGAATACAAATTTCCCAAAGCCAGGAGATTTTATCAGTTTTGTTAAACATTTCTCAATGACTAGATAAGATGTTCACAGGTAGAAGGGCCTGTGACATGGGGAGCTTTCCTCCCAAACAACAGCAGGGTTGATTTGCTCATCCTTCAGGGCTCACCTTAAGTATCACCTCTTCAGAGATCCCTCTCTAACCACCTTGCTGAAGTTTTATTGCCTAAATTTATTAAAATGTTATTTATTTATACATCTCTTTGTTTTTGTTCTCACTCTCTCTCTACAATTTCAGTTCTGGAAGCAGAGGACAGGTGGGAAGGAGGCCTTCAATAAATATTAACTGAATGGATGAATCAAGAATTATCCCAGTGCTGAATATCAAAGATTTCCAGGTGATGTTCAAGAGAAGCTATTCAAACTGAGTCAGTAATTTGATTTATGAACAAATGTAACTCACATTTAGCCCAACAGGAATGTGGATCAAATGACAGTATTTCTCAATCTTAAAGCAACACAGTTTTAAAAAGCACTGTGCTTAGGCTGCTACATCTAACTGTACATAGCCAAAATAATTCAGAAGAGTCTCTAGACCCTAATGTGAAAAAAGGCTTTGCTTCTAACTTTGACAATCACTGAAAAAGAAAGTAGTATGTGGTTGCATGTTTAAATAAATTCTACTGTCAGTTAATTTTAATAGTTGCAAGGGTATAACAAAACAAAGTGTTTTATTTTGCTCAAATGGTTTTACTAAATTGTTGATAGATTTGCAAATTGATGGCAATTGAGAATTACATAG